ACTAATTTTAAAATAAGTATTTGAGTTAACTATTAATATATATTTTATTATTAATAAATAATATATTATGATAATAATTAATATATTATAATATATTAATAAAATAATATATTAATAATAATTATTAATTATTATTATAGATATTTATCAAAGATTATTAGAGTTATTAATTAATATTAATATTTTAGAGAGATATTTATTGATTTTTACAGATATGATAATAATTCTTGATAAATATTTTTCCAAAAAATTTTCTGATAAAAAGAAATATATTTTTTTAATATATATATAATTATTGAAATTTTATATATAATTTATAATTATATAATATTCTAAGTACTATATATTATTATATTTTTTTATATTTTTTTTCTAATTAAAATATTTTCTTATATAAAATATCTTATTACTTAGTCTGAAAATATTAAGTATTTTAAATCTTTTAATTAATAATATATAATATATATAAATATAATTAAATCTCTTTATAATTACTATATTTAGAAAAGCAAAATTAAAAAAGATATAATTATAAATAATAATTATAATTAATTAATAATTAAAAATTTAAAAAAGTAATTATTAAAAAATATAATTATAAAAAAATATAGATCTAATTTTAATTAATTAATATTTTAATATTTAATAAATTTATTATATTATTATATTTATTAACAAATTATAATATTTTTTCTAATATTATTTTTATTTTTTATTAATTAAAATTTTTTTAAAATAAATAATATCTTGATTTATATTAATTATTATTATTTAAAAATTTCTTGATTATTAAATATTATAAAATCTTTATATTAATTATTATATAAATAAAAATAATATATATTTAATAATATAATAAATTATATTAATATTTTTTAATTATTTTTTATAAATAAATTATTATAACTTTTTAATTTTTATTTTTTAACTAAATTATTTAAAGATATTTATTATATTTTTTTTATTATTTATTTAAATTATAAATAATTTAATCTTTTTTAATTTTAACTCTTTTTTAAAAAAAATTAATTTAATTATTAATAATTTATAATTTTTTTTATTATTTTTTAAAATAAAAAACTCAAATTTATTTATTTTTTCTTTAATAATATTATAATTAATATTATTTATTATTTTTAACTGTAATATATTTTTTATCTTATAATTTTTAATAAAAAAAAGCTTAAATAATTAGAAATAATTATTATATTTTGTAATAAAATTAATTATATTTTTTCTTATAAAGCTTTAATTTATATATATTTTTTTATTTTTTAATAATATAATTATTAAATTATTATTATTTTTAATAAAAATTAATTTAATATATTTTTATAATTTAATTTATTAAGTTATTAGATAAAAAGTAATTTATATATATATTTCTTTTAAAATTTATATTTTAAATTTGATATTATTTTTTTAAATATAAAATATAATTAGATTTCTTTTAAATTATATCTTTTTATAATTATATTTTTTTTATAATTACTTTTTTTAAGTTTTTAATTATTAATTAACTATAATTAAAAAAGACTTTTTATAATTATATCTTTTTATAACTATTCAATTTTACTTTTTAAATTATGATAATTATAAAAAGATTTGATTATATTTTGATTATATTATTATCTTTTTATTTAATAATAAATAAAGCAAGATTTTTTAAAAAAAATAAAAAAAAATTTTAAATATTATTTTAATATTAAACTTTAAATTATATAAGCATATTATTTTATATTTAATAAAAATAAATTTAAAAATTTATAAAGATTAAATTAGCAATTATTATGAAATTAAATTTTAAAGTTAACTATATATTTTATATTAATTTTAATCAAATTTTATATTAAAATAACTAATAAAATAAAATTAAATTTTTTAAAAAATTATTTATTAATATTTATTTAAGATATAAATCTTTTTGTATTGATTATCAAATAATAATATTAGTTTGAATAAAAATAGAAGTTAATATATCTAATAAGCATATTAACACAAATTATACAAAATTTGCAAAACACTTATATATACATATTATGCACTAATGCTAATTTTTTTCTTTAATAATATTTTATATAATAGTGACAAATACATGTAAGAAAATTCTTAGTTTTGATAATGATGATTTTTAGATGCGTGTTTTTTAGTACTTGATAACATATAAAATGATGAATAAAAAAGTGAAATAATTTTACATATAAAGTAAATTTTTATATAGAAAATCACAAGGATTAAATAATAAATAATAAATAATAAATATTTGCTTTGAGGAATAATCCATTCTCATGTAATGAGAATTATAAAATGACAATACTATTATTCCACGACCACTAATGTATTTTTACTGCCGCTATTGCTGCTGTAAAACTGAAGAGAATGGATTTCGGGCATTATTTTTTCATAAGAACTCAGATTCTTGTAACAATCGTGCAATTTTTTCATCCACACGTTCCCGTGGTTCCATTGCAAGACTTTGTTCATATAATTCGTTGACATCCCGGCTATCTTGTAAATGACTCTTTATGAATATTTGAATTTCTTGCACCAGATTCAAAAAGTAAGGAACAGACTGATATTGTTGGATTTCGCGAATGACTTCTGCGGTTTTCATACGCTTTGAAAAG